AAGGTGTTGATACACGTGCAGCAGGTGTGAATTTATGGAACTTCAGCAGCATATCTAAGTGATTGTGAGTGAGAGATTTCCTGGTGTCTTGGCCAATAGTCCTACAAATAAAATTGATCATTTAAGTCATGGCTGTTTATGGGACATTGCTGTGTACAAATTGACTGCTGTATTACAAAATACACAGCCTAGACTATGAGCTCAATGCCCTGATGTGGGACCCATCCCACACCATTTTGATTCAGAGGTGAGGTGAGAGCTGGAATGACATAGTCCTTGCATTATAAATGAATAATGTAATCATCCCAATGGCTTACACCTGGTGTCCATTCTTCAGTTTCACCAAAAAACAATGTGCTTTGCTGTGAAAACAAAAACACACTTTTTATCCACATACAAGGATTCAACTTATTCATTATTCTCAGGTTCCTCTGCTCAACATCATTTGACCACAAGGAGAATTACAATCAAATCCATTGTGCGTAAAGTCCCTGTGTCACTGGGAGCCAACTTCAATCTTGTCCTCTCCCAAAATCCAGCGATCACATCTGGGATCGTCTGTGTGACTCGTTGATAATATTTTCTGTTAATTTCTCAAAGAATCGTGGAAATCAACAACACAGAGGGATGTCTTTCGACCCATCGTATTGCATTGAGAGTGCTCTCAATTGAATCAGACTGAGGTCTTGCGTTTTTCACATGTTTTTATAGCAATATTGCCCACATTCACCCGAGAAATAACGTCATCACGAACAAGACATTCAGAGATTTTCTGGAGTTTGAGTGTCAGCGGTGCCACAGCACAGACATGAGCTGGTCACACACTTACGGACAGTTGAGCAACCGGCGGCACACCTCAGACTGTACATCACACAGCACTGACAACAACAACAACTTGCAGGGGGAGGGAGAAGGTGACCATAGGCACTGTGGAGAGCAGGAGCTGCTACTCTGACAACACACCACACCTGTCGGAAGTGTGTTCCACACCATGACTTGACGGTCAGAAAAAGAAACAAGTGGGATCTGGTGCCCCGGCTTTGTTCCTTTCCCCTCTGGTTGTTTAATTCGATTAAAAGTAGCTCTGAATCTAACTCCGTAGGCTACACTACATCTTGTTTTTATCAGCCAGAATCAACCCCTCCCCTTCAACTCCCTGGTCCACCCCCATCCTAGTGCACAAACCCCTAAAGTCCTCATGTCTGATGGCTACCCTCCCCCTCCAATGGAAAAAGGGGAAGTGGGGTTAGTAGAGGAGCTGTCACGGTTGAAAAGGGAAGAGGTCGCAAGTTATTCTTCCGATCTTCAGACATTCAACACAAGCAATAGTTATTCAGGTAACTTACCGTGAAAAGGCACTGATCCTGGAGAGCTTTAGTAATGACTCCGTCCTTGTAACAACGATGCACAAATGTCTTGAGAGTGCTGTAAGAGTTGGGGATGTCCAGACTAATATCCGGCATGGCCTCAAACACACGCGTGAATCCCTGCAGAGCAGATAGGGGGGAAAGATGCAGGATTTAGCCATTGAAGAGCGAGTAAAAATGTGTGCCTTTGAAACTCATTCCACAGCGCTGGCAAAATGTCAACAGAGATGAGTCCAGACGATTAAATGAATCACTGAGCTCAGAGAGGTCCACAAGCATTCACCAGTACATGCTGGGGGTTGGGCTTATCACAAGTGCAGTCACAGAATCCGCACGTCAAATATCCATGTGTTGGAGATCCAAGCAGAGGATGAAGGTTCATCTACCAATGGTGGGTGGACAAGGCGGGGGATGTGAAGCAGGCTGGAGCCTGCTGAGTGGAGGGAGTGAACAGGTTGGTAGGGGGTTAGGAGGTCACAAAGATAGGACAGAGCGAGGCTGTTGAGGACTTTGAAGGTGAGGACCAGGTATCTTGAACTGAATCTTGTGAGTGATAGGGATCCAGTAGAGCCGGGCGAGGATGGAGGTGATTGGGTTGTGGAGCCTGTTGAGGGAGAGGATATCGACTGCAGTTCTGGATGATCTGCAGCCTGTGGTGGGAGGAGATGGTCAGGGCAACAAACAGGGAGTTTGCATAGTTGAGCCTAGATGTGATGAATGTGTGGATGAAGGACTTGGTTGCCTGCAGTGAGATACAATTGCAAATTAGGGCAATGTTGCGGAGGTGGGGAAAGGGAGAGCAGGTCATGGCATGTATATGGGGTTGTAGGACAATTGAGGGTCAAACAGGATACTGAAGTTCCGTATTGGTGTAGAGTGCATCCATGAAGGGTGATGCTGTCAGAGCCCACAGTATGGAGGCGCTGACAGGAGCCAATCAGGAGGGCCTCGGTCTTGTTGCCATTCAACTAGAGTAAGTTTGCTCTCATCCAGGAATTGATGTCCAGACTTGAGGAGGATAGAATAGTCGACAGTGTCGAAGGCAGCAGAGAGGTCAAGGAGACAGATAGAGCCCTGGTCGCAGATGGACAGAGTGTCATTGGTGATTTTGACCAGGGGCAGCAGGGAAACCCAATTGGGGGGTTTCATTGAGGGAATGGCGGGAGAGGAAAGAGCGAAGCTGGGATATGATAACTTGTTCCAGGGCCTTGGAGAGGAAAGGGAGGTTGGAGATGGGGGTGATAGCTGGAGAGTTGATGATTGGTCCAGGGAAGATTTTTTGAGGATGGGGTAATGACAGTTGTATTGAGTGGGGTGAGAACAGTGCCAATGGATAAAGAAAGGTTATTGATTAAAAGAGATACGAGGAGGTAAGGCGAAAGGTGGAGTTGGGGTCAAAAATGAAGCCCACCACCTGGAGGTGAGGAGGGTAAGGATTGCAGATGTGTAGGGTGAGGTGGGTAGGGGCTGGGATGTGGGGATATAGAGTGGCATGGAGAGAGAGATAGAGAGAGAGAAATGCACACAGTTAGAGAGACACCCCAAAAACGGACACTTAGAGATCAGCAATAGAGCTGATTCCAATTACTGTGGCTATCAGGCCATTGCAAGGCTCTCAACACCAACATCATCTAGTGGAGCTAGAAAACTTTGATTAGATCCTTAACCTTCTCTGCTCCAGCAAAAACAATCCCAACTTCAAGGGCACAAGTCAGTCATCCTTCAGATGAGACTTTAAATCGAGGCCCCATTTGCCTGTTTAAGTTGATGTTAAAGATGGCACAGCACTATTCGAAAACAGAAGGGAGTTTCTCCTGGTGTCCTGGCCAACAGTGGCCCAGCTAAAATTGGTCCTTAACTCCATGGTTGTTTGCATCGCTGTGTGCAAATTGACTGTCACAATTTGCCCACAAAATACTCCACTTTGTCCTGTGAAGCACTTTACGACCTTTCAACATAAGAAGGTGCTGTATCAATGCAAGGATGATTACATATTATGAGGTAAGCTGTAAGGGTAATGGGAATGCCATCAGAATTAGTCTTCTTGCTATTGGTGCTGAAGGATTGAATAGACAAGGCAAGAAAGAAAAAAATAAACCAGCAGGATAAAGGGCACCTCAAGGTACCTCGTAGTCCACCTTCGACTCCCCAGACAATGTCCAGACAGACTCCTCGATTGATGCTCAGCAGCTGCTTGGTCCAGCGCTGCACTGTCAGTGACCAGGCAATGGACAGAGGTCAGGGCTGCAGTTTTACAATGTCCAGTTTAGAGTAATCAGTGTGGTGTGGTGTGGGAGTGCAGGGGAGGGAGAGGGAGAGAGAAGAAACCAACCAAAATAGAACACAAATGCAATGTGATATAGTGCCTTATCATGTCTTAAACGTCTCAAAATGCTTCACAAAATATACTGTTAATTGAATTGTCTGTGTATTTTGTGGGCGAAACACTGCAGTCAATTGTGCACAGCGGTGTTCCACAAACAGTTGTGGATTGAGTGACCAAATATTTTTGTTGAAGAGATTATTACCCTTGGAAAAGCGATCCGCCAATCGACGAACAACCAGTTTCTACTTACTCCTAGTTAAACAGAGGTGTGTGAAGTAAGGAAACTTCCCTAAGGTTTTGCCCTGATTGGGAATTGAATCTATTTCCTTTCGCTTGCGAGGCGAGTGCTCTAATCACTGAAGGACTCCAATGGCTCTCACATGGGGTTCTGTGATACTGCCTTTCAACACTTTGCTTGGTTCACATACCGTGGTTGTGATTGACTTGTAGAACTTTAACACGTAGCTAAATTCTCAACCACAAATCATATTTTTCCATTTCAAACGAGATGTGCATCTGATCCAAAGCCATCAGATGGAGCTGAGGACCAATATCTACAGTGTGGATCCTATCATGGACATCCTGAGGAACGACAGTGTCCTGAATCAGGAGTATGAGACAATACGAGTGGGAGAAATGCACATCGAGAAAAACAGATGGCTGCTGAGGATTGTAATTAACAAAGGAAATTGATGCCACGAACGTGCAGAGACAACCAATATTTAATGCAGGATCTTGGTGACATAAGCCAGCGCTAAAGCCGTGTAAACTCATCGAACATTTGAATAAACAATATTCAAATATTCAATCTACTGCTGAACAGCAGGCAGCTTAACTTCAAGGGCACAAGTCAGCTTACACTGACTGATTGTTTCACAAGTCCACTTAGTTGCAGTTGCATATCGCTCTCTCATTCTACATTAAATAAATAAACTTTCAAAGTAACAGAAATCACCTTTTATTTTTACAAATATTAGATGATAGAAAATGATTCCAGCAATCGAGGTGTTAATGTGTGTTCTCACCCAAAGTGGTAGTGGGTGCGTTTCTGGCTCAGTGGGTGTTTCTGGGTCATTGGATGTCTTTGAGGGTTTGCGGGGGGAGGGGAGGCGAGGTCTGGGTAAGTTTGGGGGTCTGAGAGTGTGTTCACTGAATCTGGATGTGATTGTATTAGGGAGTCTGAGGTGTGTTTGATGGTACGGGGTGTGTTTGGGGTATGTTTGGGGGTATGGGGTGTGTTTGGTGGTATGGGGTGTGTTTGTTTGAAGTCCGGATGTGATTGGAGTCCAGGGATCGTGATCTCCAGCTTATTTCTTCTTGGATGCTATGTTGCTGCAGATCCAATTCATGCCATCCTGATAACACAGACACAGATATAGTCAGAGCCTCGTTACTCAGCCAAACCAAGCACACTAACCGAGCAGCAAACCCGGGGAGAGGGTAGCATGGGATAGTCAGACTGTTCTACGTTCACACTCACCCTTTGTGACATTTAAGCACTGTATCAAATTCAAGGTTTATTATTATTATTATTGTGAAAAGAATCAGGACTGCCACTATTAAGCAGGAATACAAAATAGTAGAAACAATTCCTTAATTACGGAATGAAATGTGCTTTGGAATATTGCAAGTTCTCCCTGATCTGTGGGGATAGGATGTAGCTCAGACATGGAGGAACTAAGTCACGTAGGCTGCCGACACTCACTCATCTCTAGTTTTGCTGTGGAACAGATACAGGTGGAGGGGCAGATGGAGCAGGACCCGACAGGAGCCAGCTGGCCACACTGCCACTCGTATAATGTTAGGATGTAAAATGCAATTTTTAGAATATATATAATTTTTTTATCAGACGGATGTCTGACACAAGAGTATCCAAACCAAGGTGAGAATTCCATGCATCGCACCTAACATGGAAATCTCATAGATAGATTGTTGGAACAGTCTCCCTGGAGGGACGCAGACTGCTTACCTAAATTAGAAAGTATTGGGCGCAGGTTGGCAAGATCCAAGGCTTGGGGACCCCAGAGTGTGCGTTGAGGTAACTGCTGAGGTCTAATCAGCTAAAACTGCATAGCTTACCATTGATGTCACTGTCTGGTTTCACCATGAGTGAATAGGAATAAAACTGCCCTCTCTCTGCATATATAAACTGCCGATTCTCTGTGATGGTAGACCGCCATCTGAACCGGTCAGTCAACAGGATGGATCAGCAGTTTAGCTCATCGGCAAGACTTGAGGAGCAAAGTTGTCACTTCTCACTTGGCTCCTGAAACTCTGCAGCTTAAAGCTCTAATTAGGTGGTGCTAACTGGAAAGACAGGAGAAGCTTACTAGTGTTCTGCTGTAATAATAATTAATAATTCTTGCATTTGATATAGGGCCTTTCATGTCAGGAGGATGGAAGTAAAAGAGTACTTCACTGCAAATTGTTGTGATTGTATATTTTGTCCCAGCTATGAAACAATGACCAATTTTATTTGGGGATTTCTTGCCAGGACTCCAGGAGAAATTTCCTTTACTTTTCAAAAAATGCCATGGGTTCTTTAATGAAGTCACCTGAATAGGCAGATTAGACCTCGGTTTTAACGTCTCATCTGAAGGACGGCACTTCTGACAATGCATCATATCCCAGGACTGTATTGGACTGTCAACTTAGACTAAGTGAGTTCAAATCCCGCAAGCAGCTATAAAATAAAACCCTGATTTAACATTTAATTTGAAGGATAGCACCTCCAGTAATGCAGCACTCCCCATCACTGTACAGTACTGGAGTGTAATCCTAGACTATGTTCATTAAAACAACAGTCACCTACAAAGCACACAGTCACTTCACTTTACAGTATATCCTGTGAAGCGCTTGGGGACATCCTCCCAATGTGAAAGGTGCAATAATATACTACACTAAATGTAAGGTTTATTTTTATTAACCCAGCAATACTGTTTAAGCTCCAGCAGTATCTCTGTCAAGCTTTGGTTCTTGCCACCTTGTACTTACACTTTTTGGGATCATGTTATCAGGATGTATTCCCTCTGGGGAGAAAATGCACACATCATACCAGATAAATGGCACAACTCTGGCACAAGTGAAGAATGGAAATGAGAGGGTTAACGAGCTCTTTACCTGCACCCCCTCTCCAGACAGTGCGGAGCAGGCCTGGATTTGCCAGACTCTGTCGCGGTATGTGTGTAGGTTCAGCCCCTCTGCAATATCTGCCGCAGGAGCTGCTGTGAGCAGGTCCTGCTTGTTGGCAAAGATGAGGACTGGCACTCCGATCAGCTTCTCCTCCTCTATCAGTTCAGCCAGCTCCTGAGAACCAAGAGGTAACAGTCCAGTCTCATCACTGCACACAAGGCTTTCACTTAAAGTAACTCATAAAATGACATGCATTACAACAACAGCTTGCATTTATATAGTGCCCTTCACGTGGGGTAGTGTCCCGGATTGCTTGTTTACATGGCTCTGAGATAATGCACACCCTCTTTCTCTCCCCCTACCCCCACCGAGATAGATATTTGATATAGCGACTTATCACGTCGTTGAGATGTCTCAAAGTGTTTTACATTAGCATTCAAAGTAAGTAAAACCAGATTGTATTACACTCCACTATTCTCCGAAATGTGCTGACAATCCAGGTTCCTCTCTGTTGCTGTGTATCTTGGCATTGTTTATGTGTGAGGCTTTATGGTGACTGTTGGCAGTGTAATCGACTGTGGGGGTCCAATACTACAGCACCAGAGAGGCCAACACCACAGGGCTCTAGACAGCACCACCAGAGGGACCAATACCACAGGGCTCTGTACAGCTCCACCAGAGAGACCAGCACCACACAGCTCTGTATATTAGTATCTCTCACAGCATCACTGCACAGCTGAGGAGATCTTTTCAGAATAATAACAAATAATCCTTGCATTTGATATAGCTCCTTATCACATCATTGAGACGTCTCAAAGGAAGCCAGTTGCGCAAAACAGTGTTCTACAAACAGTCATGGAGTGAATGACCAATTTTATTTGGGGAATTGTTGGCCAGGACACTGGGAGAAACTCCCTTCTCTTTTCGAATAGTGCAGTGGGATCTTTAATGTCCACCTGAACAGGCAGATGGGACCCCGGTTTAACATCTCATCTGAAGGACGGCACCTCTGACAATGCAACATACCCCCAACGCTGCAATGGAATGTCAACTTAGACTGTGTGATTCGAAGTCCCGATGTAGAATATGAACCCACGATCTTCTGACTCAGAGGCGAGAGTGCTACCACTCCGCCAGGCTAACACACACAAGTGGGAGATAAGGTTCTGTACGCTAATGGGAGCTCTTTTACCTGTCCTGTTTCTTCGAATCGCTTCTTGTCTGCGCTGTCTATGACATAAATCTGTGATGGAGCAGAAAAAAATTGAAAATTATGAGCGATTCATTTTTTTTAAGTAAATTTGTTTATTAGTGGGAATGTTTCTAATGGTGGGAAATATTCCCATTTCTGCCACCAGTGTCAGCGCACAGCACACAGTCACAAGGTGGGTCTGGATGAAGAGCCTCATCTGATCTCATCCCTTCAGAACACCCGTCCTGACACTCCTCCATCACTGCATCAAGCTGATTTTTAAAATGCGTCTCATGTCCACCTTTCCTGGTAACTGTTCCAATCATTGATTATCCTCCCCGTAAAGGAAAACTTCCTGCTTTCTGTCCTGAAATTGCCCTGGGCAACTCTAAACCTACATATTCTTGTTCTGCACTCTTGATATATTCTAAGATATTGATCTGGTTTACTTTCTCAATCCCATTTGAAATTTTGTACACCTCTATGAGGTGAGGCCACCTCTGAGCTTTCTTTTCCCAAGACTGAAGAGCCCTAGCTTGTCCAATTGATGCCCACAGCTCATTCCTCTAACATTGGGATCATCTTCTGCACTGCCTCTAGGGCCTAGGCAGCTCCCTGATGCCGTGGGTGACCAGAACTGCATGCAATATTCAAGGTGCGGTCTCACCAGAGTACTGAACAGCCTGAATACAATGTCTGAGAATTTAAACTCAATTGATTTATTAATACAGCCCAGCTTTGTTTATTGCTGCCTGTTTGCTTTGTTTAGTGCTGCCTCACTCTGTGTTCATATAGTGCGTGATGAATCAAAAATAATAAAATAAAATAATAATCCTTGCATTTGACATAGCACCTTATCACATATTCGAGACGTCTCAAAGCACTTCACAGAATATACTGTAAAGTGAATCAACTAACTCCCCTAGATCTCTTTTAGCTTCCCCCTTGTCAAATTCAATCCCATCTATGGAGTATTTGTGTTTCCTATCTTGGTTTGTATATATAATATGTTGCATTTTTCAGTATTAAACTTCATCTATCAGTTATCAGTTTGTGGTGTTTAACCTCTCAAGCTCTCTTTGGAGGACTTTTGCTGCCTCCTCTGATTCTAGAGCAACCTCTACCCCACCCCCCGAGAGATTTAGTGTCATTTAATGTCAGCTTATGAACAATCAGTTTCTTTAACAGAGATGCTATCAGATCAATGAGATGTCACCAGTAAATTTGTGCTCTCAAAGTAGTTCCTCCAATACTGGCGGATTTTCCTCTGCCCTCCAATGTCCCAGACGTTGAGTTTCAGACCATGGGCTTGAACACTTTTGATGTTGAAGCCCTGAAGGATAAAAAAGAAAGAATGGCATCTTAATGTAAACAGTCACCATAATGTAAGGTGGGCACCCAGGCCTGAAGGGCAATACAGAGGCATAGAGATCAGGGCATAGAGATCAGAGGAGACAATGTGTAATGCCTTTTCATCCCTTTCACACTGGGCTCCCTCTGCCTCCTCGTCCTCCTCGACCTATCGGCCGCATTCGATACGGTCGACCACTCTATCCTCCTCCACCGCTTGTCCTCCCACCTCAACCTTCAAGGCCCTGTCCTTGAGTGGTTTAGGTCCTACCTCTCCCACCGTCTTCACTTTGTTTCCACAAACGGCTTTTTCTCAGCCCCCGCACTGTCTCGTGCGGTGTCCCTCTGTCCCCGGTCCCCTCCTCTTCACCCTCTATATGCTCCCCCTGTGGTGACATCATCCGCAGACATGGGGTTAACTTCCACATGTATGCGGTTGACACACAACTCTACCTTTCCTCCTCTACCCTCAACTCCACGACCACCGATGTCCTGACAGCTGCCTGTCCGACATCGAGTCCTGGACGAGAGACAACTTTCTTCAGCTCAACGTGCGCAAAACTGAGGCCCTCCTGATTGGCTCACGTCAGCGCCTCCGCACCTCAGGCGCTGACACCATCAGCATCCAAGGCTGCACTCTCCACCTCTCAAAGCCGGTCAGGAACCTCGGTGTTCTGTTCGACCCTGAGCTGTCCTTTCTTCTCCACATCCGCACCACAACTGGCACCGCCTTCCACCAACTCCGGAACATCGCCAGACAATGGCACTACCTCACCCCTCACGCGGCTGAAACTCTGGTCCGCGCCTTTATCACCTCAAGGCTGGACTATGGGAACTCTCTCCTCATCGGCCTTCCCGGCACTTCCCTCCACACTGCAGGTCATTCAGAACTCTGCAGCTCGTGTACTGTCCCGCACCAGATACCGCGACCACATCACTCCCGCCCTCGCTCGCCTCCACTGGCTCCCCATCCCCCAGAGGATCGAATTCAAGATCCTCATCCTCACCTACAAGGCCATTCACAGCCTTGCTCCCTCCTACCTCTCCGACCTACTATCCCCTATCTACCTGCCCGTACCCTCCGTTCCTCTGGCTCTGGTCTGCTCCACATCCCCCGCCCCAACCGCCCTACCATCGGTGGCCGGGCCTTCAGCCTCTCAGCCCCGAGGCTCTGGAACTCTATCCCCCAGTGCCTTCGACGCTTCCTCCCTTTCCTCCTTCAAGGCCGGTCTCAAGACCTTTCTCTTTGACCGTGCCTTCAGCTCCCCTCTTGACTCTCTACCTCCTCCTCGCTCCCTCCCTTCCCTCCCCTCACCCTGACCATTTCCCCTTTGCTCGGGTCCCGACCCAACTGTCCAGCGCCTTGGGATGTCCTCCCAACGTGAAAGGCGCTCTATAAATGAAATCTTGTTGTTGTTGTTGTTGTCTTCAGTGTAGGAAAGATAAAATAGATAGAATGGTTGGATAAGATGGGGCTCTTCAGCCTTCAAAAGGGATGTTTCACAGAGAACCTCATAGAGGTATATAAAATATTAAATATCAGAGAGAGGGTAAACCCAAAACAATAATATTAGATAGACAAATCAGTCCTACTGATGTTATTGTTTTGGGTTTACCTTCTCTATGTAATTTAATATTTTATATATCTCTACGGGGTTCTCTGTGAGACATCCCTTTCATGTTGTGAATGTCTATTTTAGGACATACATCATAAAATATATCCTTATAAACAGAAGAGTCAGATTGAACAGATTACAAGAAAGCATGGTTGAGGCTAGGGCAATAATAATAATAATAATCCTTGCGTTTGATATAGCGCCTTATCACGTAGTTGAGACGTCTCAAAGTGTTTCACAGAATATATTGTAAAGTAGATCGACTGTATATTTTGTGGCCGAAATGTGGCAGCCAAGTGCATGCACCAGTGTCTCACAAGCAGTCGTGACCACATTATTTTTTTGTAAAAGGAATTATTATCTCCAGAAAGAGACTAACAACTGGTTTCCTACTTACTGCTAGGAAAATAGAGATGTGAGGAGTAAGGAAACTTGCCTAAGATTTCTCCCCCAACCCCCAGAATTGAACCTGGGTCCTCTTGAGTGATTTTCTACAGAGCTACACAAACGTAACTGCTAAGACAAAATACCAACCACAGGCTAAGTCAAGGCTATGTGAAATTTCAAGCCTCCTTTGGGCATGTACCCTTTGCCTTTGGTGCAGTAAAGCAGACTACTGGTAAGTATGAAGCTTCTCTGTAATGCACAGGTTTGACAGACAGAGTCAATTCCAATAGGTACCTGTCACTTCCTAACCAGCTCCTGTGCTTACCAAAGTGCCCACAATATTATTAAACTCATTCTATTCTATTTTTCCCTGTTTCTTTCATTCTCCCTCTTCCTCTTGTACTCTTTCTCTTCATCATCCTTTCTCTTACCTGGGTTGGTGTAATGGTGTTGATGTCTTCTGAGGCTAATTGTTTTAGCAGTGTCGTTTTCCCCGCATTATCTAGTCCAAGAAGGAGGATCCGCAACTCCTGCTCTTGAGAACCTTTCAATTTTTGTAGGACAGACAGCAAACCCTAGATAGATAGAGAGAGAGAGAGAGAGAGAGAGAGATAGATAGAGAGAGAGAGAGAATGAGGGAGAGCAAGAGTGAGGGTGAGAGGTTGAGAGTGAGTGAGTGAGAGAGAGACAAAGAGAGTGAGAGAATGAATCAGAGAGAGTATGAGAGAGAATAAAAGTGAGAGGATGAGAGAGACAGAGAGGGAAGCGAAAGGGACAGTTGAGAAATTGAGGCTCGAAGAGCAGAGCCTGTGCCTTCCTAAAGAGGTTACCATCACTCTGTGTGTGTGTGTGTAAGTGCTCGGCTCTGAGAAGGCCTCGGTCGAGGCCCAGGGAATATGAGATCCAGGCCATGTGGCTGGTCTGAAGTTGGTTAAGGTTTAGAGTGGGGGATTGCGAGTCACATGATGGTAAGACAGGTTGCAGGCACCAACCTTGAACCCAGTTGCCTGAACTCTTCCTTCGCGGTTACCTTATTGTGTTGCAGTTGTTGTTGTGGGTTCCTCCCTGGAGAAGTTAAACCCGTGTGTTGTTTTAGCTGAGAATCGCTGTGTGTGTTTATATCTATCTGGATCAAGGGGGTTCATGTTGTAGTATAATGAGATCTTTAATGCCCATCTTTAATGAACAGGCAGATAACACTGGTTTAAAGCCTCATCCAAAGGACAAGTCCAACAGTGCAGTGCTCCTTCAGCTCTGTATCGGAGTGTTAGTCTATAATAATAATAATAATCCTTACATTTGATATAGCACCTTTTATGACAGGAGAATGTCTCGAAGTGCTTCATAGGGAATATTGTATATTGTAAGGTGGACTGACTATTCTGTGAGTGAACACGACAGCCAATTTGGGCACAGCAATTTTCCACAAACAGCAATGAAGTGATTGATCAATTTCATTTGAGGGATTGTTGGCCAGAATGCAGAGAGAAACTCCCTTCTCTTTTTGAACAGAGCCATGGGATCCACCTGAACAAGGCAAACATCCCAGGACCTTAGTTTAAGATCTCATTTGGAGGACACTGCATCAAACAATATTGCACACCCCAGCACAACATTGTAGTGTCAGCATAAACTAGATTAGCTCCAAGTTCTAACAGAAAATCAGCCAGGAAGTCCCCCTTCTGATCACTTTCCAGCAACTGCTACTGAAACGGGTGTTTGTGGAGATGAGGAGAAATCAGGTTTTATTGCCCCATTACACTAATGGAATCTCTGTAGGCTTTCACTTGGACTGCTCAACAGACACCTGCTAATGCCTTGGTGCAGAGATCCAGCAAAAGCCAAAAATCTTCTGTAGAGAAAGTGGAAAGAAACCTGGAATTGTGTTAAATCAAAGTTGATCTTATTCTCTACAATACCATGACTGTTATTATCATTTCTGACCCGGCAATCTGCTACTTCCTCTCTGTTAGTCTTGGAACTCTGAGGTTGAGTTTGTGTGATCACATTTCAGGAGGTCAATAATAATAATAATCCTTGCATTTGATATAGTGCCTTATCACGTCTTCGAGATGTCCCACAGCCCTTTACAGACTAAAAAAAAATGTTATTCACAGAATAAAAAAGTAAAATGAATTGACCGATCAGAGAACAGCTCAGATACATCGCTGAAGACGTCCTTTATGTGTACCTTCTTGTTGGGTGTCGCCTTTCTTTGTTTACATTGCTGAAATAAACCTTTCATTTGATTAAAGGTCATCACCTGACCAGACAAATGATCTCAGAAAGGATTCAAAATGCTCCCTTGCCATAACTGAGGAGTTATTGAGAGAAGGGGGAAGAGCAGTCACTGGACACGTGATAAAGAATTCAGCGTATAAGGTAGTGAGCAAGAAACAAGGCCTCAGACAAACACATCACTGTTGGTCGTAGCAGTCTGGACAAGAGGTTAATTTTCTGTCTAACCAAAGCTGGAAACTGCCTAGCAAGATAGAGTTTTCCAGCCCAGCATTGAGATTATCCATGATTAAAGGCACTGGGCTAAACCACTGTTATCCCCAACAATAAGGAATGTGGGAACCTAATATGAAGTATCAGGAAATCTGTTAAATAATTTCTATTCAAACCCTGGCTTGTCTGAGATAGCTGGTCATAGCTGGGGTAGCAGTTAGAAGCTGATGCTATTCCAGTGCAGTGATGTGGGAGCACAGCATTTACAAGGCCCTGTCCTTCAGATAGACATTAAACCATCGTCTTGTCTACCTGCTCAGGTGGATGTTAAGGATCCCATGGCATTATTCAAAACAAGGAATTTCTCCCTGGTTCTAGCCAAGAATCATTCAGGTAAATTAATTGGCTGTTCATGGGCTCTTGCTGTGACAAATTGGCTGTTGCTTTGCCTACAAATGCACAGCCACTGCACATGGCATCAATTCCCCATGAGCAGTTTGAGATGTTTTGATATTCCAGGTAAAAATGCACGATTATTATTAAACAAGCACATTTTGTTTTCTCAAGAACACTGGACATTGTAGGCCCTGAGAACCAACAGTCCAGCCTCATCCACCTGGTGCAGGTTCTAGTTAATCAACCAAATGAATACAAGCCACGATCTATAACCATTGTCTGAGATATTGCACAAACTCTCCATTTGGGAAAATAATAATAATAATCCTTGCATTTGCTATAGTGACCTATCATGTCATTTGAGACGTCTCAAAGCGCTTCACAGAATATTCTGTGAAGTGAATTGACTGTATATTTTGTTATCTCCTATGCAGTGTGGAGTGACTTGAAAGAGGGCAAAACATTGCAAGCAGGAAACTCTCACCCTTAACTGGTAAACTGAACACAGGGCCATGAGCTAACAAAGTCCTTTGATAATTAACAGGAATGAAGTAGGGCCTGACGAATTATATTAGTGAATGCTTAACTCGCCGCGTCCTATCCTAGAAATGTGGCTCGAGGTTTCAGAAAGATTTAGCTCTTATATGAAAACCCTTTGCAACAAAGATCACATCTTGGAAAGAATACTTCAAAAGGAGGTTCCCTTGTAAAGCTTACACTTCCGTTCTGCAAATAGACGAAAGCGAACTTAAAAATCTGCTTTCCGTGAGCACCAATTGAACTGCTCGCAGAGCATCTAACTCACAGAAAAGGAATTCAATGCAAAAGCACCCGATCAATAAAATTCAAAATTTGAATAGAGAATAGTGGATCTCCACTTTCCAACACCAAATGGGAAGTCTAGTCTGGGTTTTTACATTTATATTCAATCCCACTTTTGTCTCCATACAGTTATAATCATCTGAAGCCCTGTAAACGCTTCTCTGCAGTGTGTTCCTGTGTGAGGTGAACACAATGCTGATAAATTAGAAATTGAACCTTTTTTTCTGTACCTAACTTTTGGACTTGTCACCTGAAACAGATGTGTGCGGAAAATAACAACAACTTGCATTTATATAGTGCCCTTCGGGCTGAGCTGCGTCTCAGAGCACTTGTAATAACAGAATATATAATAATAATAATATTACAACAGCATGACTGTGCTCAATGTTCTGGGTGTTTAAAAAGCCTCAAAATCAATTGCAATAAGCCGCCCAAGTCTAAACAACCCTCGCACGATGAGCTAATCTATTATTCTACAATTACTATCACCAATAAAGGAGTAGTCCCGTGAGTCTAAACTTACCTTGTGATCATCTCCCATTTTAGCACCTTCAGGGATCTCGCTACATTCTACAGGATGAAGGAGGTTGCGATACCACTAATTTCTGTGCCTTAATGTCCGGTTGCTGCACCCACGAACCAGCCTATCTGCAGAGAGGGAGAGAATTAAGGGATCTTAAATTAGCTGCATGTTTCTACATTTACCCAAGGGATTAAATTATGGGGATAATCCATCAGACAGCTGTCACACACAGTAAATCATGTTAACTTTCTAAGCCTACACTAATGGGTAAAGAAAGTTGGAAGATGAAGATGACAGACTGGCTATGAGGACTAAGGGACATTTACTTGGGGAGATAGAAAGCAAATCATTAAAAGTGCAGAACTGTCCCATTCTCTTATTGTTTTCCTTAATATTACTCCCCTACCTGAAATGTATGAAGTTGTGATTCATGATGATTTATAACAGAATTCCTTAATACGGAAACTAAGATTGCATCATCCAACTAGCGGAAACTCCACTCTGACCTCGAATCAATGCAATTTACATTTATATAGCACCTTTCACGTTGGGATGACTTCTCAAAGCACATGACAATGCTGACTGGGCTCCCAAATTGGGGTGGAATCTGAAGGAGAAAGATGACTGAAAGTCCAGTAGAAGAAGTACATCTAGTTTCTATACACAAAGTGGAGTCTTGTAGCTCAGTGGTTAGAGCACTCGCCTCACATGCGAGAGACCTGGGTTCGATTCCCAGCAGGGCGAAACTTTGGGCAAGTTTCCTTACTTCATGTGCCTCTGTTAACCTAGCAGTAATTAGGAACCTGGTTGTTAATCGATTGGCAGATCGCTTTTCCAGGGGTAATAATTCCTTAAAAAAAATAATATATTGGTTGCTCAATCCACGACAGTTTGTAGGACACTGCTATGCGCAATTGGCTGCCACGTTTTGCCCACAAAATATGCAGTCAATTCACTCTACAGCATATTCTGTGAAGCGCTCGAAGACGTGATAAGGCGCTATATCAAATGCAAGGATTATTATTATGAACGTTCTGTTGAAGGTTCTGAGGGTTTCCATGTTGATACACATCAATTGTAAGTTCTGGTTCTATAGGTCCTTTATCTGGAGGGACAATTTTACCTTTAGAACCACACACAGGATTGAATGCTGCACATATCATGCTTTCAGACAGTAACCCGGATACACCAAGACAGTAGAATAAGAGAGCACAGGGTTAGGGTGAGAGTTTAGAACAGACACCAAGACTTATTTCTTTACACAAAGGTAATTAATATCTGGGTGGTAAAGAACAGGACACTGGATTCATTTAAGAAACAAGTTGATGCTATAAAATTGGTATTCTGACGAGATCTAATGGGATGCAGGGCCTTCTTCAATGGAAGCAAATCTCTGTGTGAAAAACATTTCTTCTAAAATTCCCTCAATTCTTCTCATGATAATCCTGATCTGTGTAGACTTGGGAAGTTATTCACATGGGTGTAGTTCTCTCAGGCTATCAGAGATGACTCTCTGTTTGAATTATCCATATTGGGACTTATTTACTCTAGGATAAGTGTAATTTCAGATCTGCTGGATCATCTTACTTTCTGAACATCTGGCTAAGTATAAGTGGCAGCTGGTGGCATGTCAGGTGGCAATTTTCTTAAAAGGTGTTTAATCTGTGATTTAATTGTTATATTTAAAGGGATTTTTAAAGGCTCAAGACAAACAAGTGAACAACAGGAATTACTTATTTACACAGAGGTAATTCATATCTGGATAGTAAAGATCAGTACACTGGATTCATTTAAGAAACAACTTGATGATGTAAATTTGGTATTCTGATGGGATCCAATCCAAGCTAATTTGGAAGGGCCTTCTTCAATGGAAGCAATCTTGTGATTATTATCAGCCTCAAATTCTGTCTGTTGCCTCAGCAGCCATGCCTAGGAAGAGTTCTTTTTGCTGTTAATTGTCCAGCCCTCCAGGCCTCCTACATCATCCAACAATTCCCCCAAGTTTCCTGAGACTGTGTAATCTGTTTCATGTGCACCTTAACCCACTGTGCATGTGTCTAAGGGGTTAAGAGTTAGCAAATATCCCAATACTGGCTTTTACGTTAAATATATACTGCTAGACTCTGAACAATGGATAGTACCACACAGATCTGAAGTTTATAACAACAATAATTTGTATTTATTTAAATGTACAGTACGTTTTACAAAAAATAACATTTCTCAAAAATATAATTCATTAGAAATGAAAATGAAAGTTGTCACATAGGCAAAAGTGGCAGCTAATTTGCATCAAAAACATCCCATAAACAACAAGATAACAATCCTTGCATTTGTTACAGCACAGCATCAAAGCAATGAAACAACAAACTACATTTGCATAGCACCTTTCACATTGGGAGGATGTCCCAATGCCCAAAGAGCATCGCACAATTTACTGTAAATTAGAGGAACTGGATACTTGTAGGTGAAGAGCGACAGGCAATTAGTTTAAATGTGCCAAAAGTTTGGATGAATAAAAATCAGGATAACCAGGAAAAAAACTCCACTTTACTTTGAAATAGAAAAAAAATTGGCTGAATCACAAAGTAGAGGGGAAACTAAATTAATAACACCATTGAAAATAGGATGATGATCTGGATGTAAAACTTATATTTAATGTTGAGAGCTGTTATATATTTAATCATACAATATAGACACTGAGAATTATTGTCAATATATTAAAGCGGAAACAATTTACCTGATTAAAGTGCTTTTTAAATGGCAACACTTCAGTTTCAAATCACTTTGATTTTTCACCTCCTTTCATAGCTGTTCACATTCAGTACCTTTGTGTGCGATGTTCCATGTCTCTGTGACACGTTAGCCATAGAGACATGGAACGGTTACCTCACCGTAGGTCATTCTGTTCATCATCTCTCCTGCGGTCCTGCCTCCCCCACTGGAGCTATCTCTCTAATCCCATTCCCTGATGTTATCCAATCATGTCTATTCTGTGGCCAGTTTCCCCACTGGAGCTAACTCTCTAATCCCGTTCCGTGCCCTCTCTCTATACCCTTTAATATTATTTTCCTTCTGTTTCCAATTAAATATTGTTATGAACTTAGCTTCAGAGGCAGCAAGACATTCCTGGGGTAAAATTCCACCCTTTACCCTTTAGATTTACTCTGCTAACATAGCATTTCAGAGTTCAGAATTTTGGTAAATTCTTGAACACAGGTTATAATTTTGAAGTCGATTTTCTGTTAAGAATTGAACAATTTGTCAAGCATCACTATTACAGTTCCCTAGCACATAGGTGTCTAAGTGGGGTGAAATTCTGCTGGTCAGCAAAGGGACTCGCACTACCACCAACCCCCCGTTAATAAAAGCAAGTTGTTGCTGTCTATTAGATCATGCCAGATCTTCGAGTCCCATTTCTTTTCGCTTTCTCCTTACCCTAATATGCTTTTAAAAATTCTTTCTGAATATTTACCTTTTTTTAAAAATATCTTTTTTGTGACAAGTTACTTGTATACTATTTTAAACAACATTGGCTCATTCACACCCAGAAAGTGTTGATTATTATGTGGTGGAAAATATCCTACATAGAGTACATTTATAAGATCCCCACTGAGATGTCTCTTTTCAAGTCTGAATGTGACAGTAATATCTGAGAAGTGTGGTTTGGCATTACAGAAGCTTGAAAGAAGCAAAGTTTTTCTTTCTATCATCATCGTTGGAATTAAAAGCTATGAGCAGTAACATTTGCGCTTCATTGGTACCAGCAACAAATCAAGCCATTTCCATCGGAGTAAAATATGAAGAATAAGCTGTTTTATTAAACCTATTTTACCCGCAAACTGGAATAAATAATTTTCTCTGAGTCATCTTCTGCTGGTTTCAGTGCCTCCGGCTGTTTAGTAAAACATATGGAAGCGTACACCAAACTGGCTTCAGAATCCCTCTTGTCAGCTATCTGAGATGCGTTCACTTCTGGCTGCATGCACTCCTCCTCCGGCTCAGCACCTCCATGCATTTCTTTTGGCTGGTTAATCATAATAGAGTGATTGTTAGAATTTATGTTGATGTGAGGTCAAAAACGGTTATTAAAGGGGAGGATAAAATAGATTTCTTCACACGCAGGATGGTCAGAATACAGAATTTTCTGCCACAAACTACTGTGGAGAAAGAGTCCACGAATTGTTTGAAAAATGAACTAATTGCTTGAGAAGGAGGACGACTTCAGGATACTATCCAACTGAACGTCAACAAGATGGAAGCCACACTCCTTGGCTTCCGTCAACGTCTTCTCTCCTGCAGCTCTGACCTCATCAACCTCACTCGTCACTTCCTAAGACTTACCAAACCTGTACGTAAACCCCAGGTGTCATTCCTGTCACACATCTGGTCCCTAACTAAGACCACTTTCCTCCACCTCCATCACATTGCACACCTCTGACAGTACCTCACCCCCAATGCAGCCAAAACCCTCGTACATGCATTCGTCACCACCCCCTTGATTGTTCCAATGCCCTCCTCATCAGTCTGTACAGCTCCACTACCCACAAACCACAATTGATTCAGAACTCTGCTGTCCATATTACATAGATTATACAGCACAAAAACAGGCCGTTTGGCTCAACTGGTCTATGCCGGTCTTTATGTTCCACATGAGCCTCCTCCTGCCATTCCTCAACTAAGCCTATCAGCATAACTTTCTATTCCTTTCTCCCTCATGTACTTATCTAGCTTCCCCTTAAATTCATCTGTGCAATTCACCTCAACTACTCCTTGTGGAAGCAAGTTCCACATTCCCACCACTCTCTGGGTAAAGGCGTTTTTTTCTGACTTCTCGATTTGATTTATTGGCGACTATTTTACATTCATGGCCCCTGGTTTCAGTCTCCCCCACAAGTGGAAACATCTTCTCTATGTCTCTTCTCTACCCTATAAAAACCTTTCATAATTTTAAAGACCTGGATTAGGTCACACCTCACCCTTCTCTTTTCAAGAGAAAAGTGTCTAAGCTTGTTCAACCTTTTCTGATGGATATAACCTCTCAGTTCCAGTATCATCCTTGAAAATCTCTATATCCTTTCTATAAAATTGGGACCAGAACTCTATTCTCATGCACACTAAACTCATACGCTCATCTCACCAGTGCTCGTCAGGCTCCATTAGCTCACTGTAGAGAATGGATTCAGTTCAAGATCCTCTCACCACCTGCAAAACTCTTCACCCGCTGGCACCTCTCCATCTTTCCGACCCGCTTTCTCCCCAATATACTACCCGTTCACTCCTCCTGGCTGGCTCTGGCCGCCTGCTTGTCCCTCGTCCCCTCTGCAAAATCATCGGTGGCCTAACTTTCAGTCACTACAGCCAAAGCTTTGGAACTCTCTGCCCATTCCCTCCACTTTGCCCTCTCCTTTCCCTCTTTTAGATCACAACAGGAAACATTCCTCTTTGACTGTACTGATGGTCACCTCCTCCTTCCACCTGGCTCAGCGTTAGGGTTCGCCACTGTTAAGCGCTCAGAGACACTGCCCCGCATGAAGGGCGCTAGATGAAGCAAGATGTTGTTGTTGTTGTTGTTGATTCACCTCTATGTTACTATATATGCATTCTTCCTCATCTGGTTTGGCTGCTTTGGAATGCTCTGGCTTGTCGGGGATGCAGGAATCATGCAGCAAATTGTCTCCAAGCTTCTCCTTAGCCGGTTCCGATCCATCCTTGAAATTTTCATACCCACAATCTTCCTTGTGCTTGTTGTCCTCCTCATCCTGTGAACAGCATAATAATTACAATCCTTCTTCACAGGGAAATACAAAATAGACATGTTATGTCTCTGTCACACTGCTACCTTTTTCTCTAACTTGCCCCGTTTTGAAAATTATTCTCAATTTTCAGCTCTTTCTCCCTCAATGTTTTCATTGCTCAGGTGCATATCTACTTCCCTTCTGAACAATTCTACAGCTGAATATGGACAAGACGGAAGCCATACTCTTTGGCTATCATCAACGTCTTCACTCCTGTGGATCTAAACGCCTCAACCTCCCTGGGTTCTCGCTGGGCTCCCCAGCTCCACCATTCACAATATCCAGCTGATCCAAAACTCTGCTGCCCACATACTGACCCAGATCAAGCTCTGTACCCACATCTGACCAGGCTCCAGTGGCTCCCCATCACCGAACAGATCGACATCAAGATGCTCACTCTTGTGTTCAAATCCATTCACTCTCTGGTACCTACCTACCTCTCCGACCTTCTCAGTCCCCAATCCGCCACTCAGCGCTTCTGCTCGACCGGCACTGGCCTCCTGCTCCTGCTATTGTTTCATTCCTGGTATCATCCCGTAATGAATCCCATAATGGGAAGCCCAAAATTAAACACTATACTCCAACTGCAATCTAACCAATGTCCTACACATTTACAACATAACTTACCCACTTTGTTTTACTCAGAATCCCATTTGGCATCTTGATAACTTTCTGCACCTGCCACCCCACTTTTAGTAATAAAGTGGAAGCTATTTTAACCAGACACTGGTTAACCTGAAAGCCGGGTAAATTGGACAAAACACCCGGCCCAGATTCATTTGTATCCGGTTTAATTCTTACAATAATCTGGTTAATCCAGACAACATGCCACGCTGGTAGCTTCTGAATGTACTCAATCGAACTTTCTGTGTCTCGAGTGGCTTCATTCAGCCACAAGAGGCTCCAGGATACAGATGGGAGGAGTCCAATTGTGATTGATTGACAGCGCACTCCAGCCATTCACAAGAGGCTGGAGTTGAGCTGTCAATCATTGAGGGGTTGGAGGAACGGGGAAGAAACAAGGGAGGGAATGGGAGTAATTAAATTGCAATTGATTAACAGCAATAATGCATCAATGCCATTTGCCTCAACTACTCCTAGAAGTTCCACATTCCCACCACTCTCTGGGTAAAGAAGTTTCTTCTGAATTCACTATTTAATTTATTGGTGACTATTTTACTTTGATGGCCCCTGGTTTTGATCCCCCCACAAGTGGAAACATCTTCTCTGTGTCTACCCTATCAAAACCTTTCATCATTTTAAAGACCTCTATTGGGTCACCCCTATCCCTTCTGCTTTCAAGAGAAATGTGTCCAAGCTTGTTGATATGACCTCTCAGTTCCAGTATCATCCTAGTAAATCTCCTTTGCACCTTCTCCAGTGCCTCTATATCCTTTCTATAAAATGGGGACCAGAACTGTATTCTCATGAACACTAAACTCATACACTCATCTCACCAGTGCTCATCGGGCTCCACGAGCTCATTGTCATAGAACGGATTGCTTTTGAGATCCTCTCACTCATCTAAAAANTCCTTCACCCACCGGCACCTCCCCACCTTTCCAACTCGCTTTCTCCCCAATCCACTGCCCATTGCCTCCTCTTGGCTGGCTCTGGCCGCCTGCTTGTCCCTCGTCCCCTCTGTTCCACCATCGGTGGATGCACTTTCAGTCACTACACTCAAAGCTTTGGAACTCTCTGCCCATTCCCTCCACTTTGCCCTCTCCTTTCCCTCTTTTAGATCACAACAGAAGACATTCCTCTTCGACCGTACTGATGGTCACATCCTCCTTCCCCCGGCTCAGGGTTAGGCTTCGCCACTGTTAAGCGCCCGAGAAACTGTCCCACATGAAGGGCACAATATAAAGAAAGTTGTTTTGGTTGTTGTTGTTGATTCACCTTTATGTTACTATATATGCATTCTTCCTCATCTGGTTTGGCTGCTTTGGATTGCTCTGGCTTGTCGGGGATGCAGGAATCATGCAGCGAATTGTCTCCAAGGTTCTCGTTAGCTGATTCCGAACTATCTATGAAATTTTCATACCCACAATCTTCTTTGTGCTTGTTGTCCTGCTCAATCAACCGGTGATCCTGCAAACAGCATAATAATTACAATCCTTCTTCACAGGGAAATACAAAATAGGCATTTTGTGTCTCTGTCACATTGTTACTTTTTTCTCTAACTTGCCCCGTTTTGAAAATTATTCTCAATTTCCAGCTCTTTCTCCCTTAATGATTTCATTGCTCAGGTGCATACCTACTTCCCTTCTGAACAATTCTACAGCTAAATATGAACAAGACGGAAACCATACTCCTTGACTATCATCAACTTCTTCAATCCAGTGGATCTAAACTCCTCAACCTCCTTGGGCTCTCCCTCAGACTCACTGAACCTGTGCGCATCCTAGGCATCCAATTCAAACCCCAACTGTACTTCCTCCCCCACATCCAGTCCCTGACCAGGACCACTTTCTTCCATCTCTGATACATGTCCGACTGTACTGTGCCCCAAATGCAGCCAAAACCCTCGTTTTGAGGGCAGTATATAATTGCAAGTTGTGGTTGTTCTTGGTTTACAAATTGAGCCTCAAGGGCCACTTGTGTTAATGAATACCAGACTTTATCAACAACACTCTGCACTGAAATAATGCCCTTCATCCTCGGTAGCGTCTCTGAGTGCTTAACATTAGTGGAGCTTGATGACGAACCAGGGAGAGAGGGAGGTGACTGGTTGAAGATAAAGTTCTTGTGGTGTAATCTGAACGTGGACAAGGAGGAGGAAAGATGTAGAGATTCAGGCAGAGATTTCCAGAGTTGGTAATGGCTTAAAAACTGTATAGAAGATATCATTATAACGTCTCCCTGAATCTCTGAAACTCTTCTTCTTGTTCTGGTGAAAAAAGCCCCCAGTTTACCCAGCTGCTCTTCATATGTATAATGCTTCATACCTGATATCCTCCAGCTGAATCCTATAATGGGAAGTCCAAAATTGAACACTGTACACCAACTGCAAACTAACCAATATCCTATACAGTTACAACATAACGTACCCACTTTGTTTTACTCAGAATCCCATTTGACTTCTTGATAGCTTTCTGAACCTACCACCCCACTTTTAGTAATACAGTGGAAGCCATTTTAACCAGACGCCAGTTAACTCGGATGCCGGGTAAATTGGACAAAACATCCGGCCGCGAATCATTTGTATCCGATTTAAATACGCTGTTTAATTTGTACAACAATCCAGTTAATCCGGACAAAATGCCGTGCTTGTCGCTGCTGAATATACTCACTCGCGCCTTCTGTGTCTCAAGCGGCTTGTTCAGCCACGAGAGGCTCCAGGATACAGATGGGAGGAGTCAAATTGTAACTGATTGACAGCGGACTCCAGCCATTCACAAGTGACTGAAGTTGGGCTATCAATCAGTGAGGGGGTGGAGGAATGGGGAAGAAACAAGTGAGGGAATGGGAGGATTCAAATTGTAATTGATTGACAGCTGAATCCACTTATAAAATGGCTGGAGCGCTCATGTTGCCCGCCACTGCCACTATTTCTCCCCCCAAGCTGCTTCGACCCTCATTCATGCCTTCATCTACTCCAATGCTTTATTCACTGAACACCCCAGATCCTCTGTACTCAAGCTGCTGATATCAGACATATAGTGCAGGTCCTCTCCTGCACCAGACACTGTGAATACATCACCCCCAGCCTCACAGGTGTTCACTGGCTTCACATCTCCTCGTGAATCAAGAATCTTATCCTCACATTCAAATACCTCCACGTCCTTCCTTCAGTTTACTTCCATGACAAACTGTGATCCTACTGCTTCAACCACTGAGTCTGTGTCATGTCTTCTGCCCGCTCCCTATCCACTATTGGTGGGTGAGCCTTTAGGACTGCCCTACTCTCTGAAATTCTATTACAGAGTCCACCTGCCTTTCCCCCTCCCTCTGTGCCTTCAAATTCCCCTAACGTCCTGTCTCTTTGATCTTGTTTTCAGTCACCTTTCTTTGCATTTGATCAGCACCCACCCCAAGCTTTGACTCCGTCAATTGTGTGAAGGATTTTGAGACATCTTCCCGATGTGAAAGGTACAAATTATTGTTGTTTGACAATTTCTATAATGTTTCAATATCCTATCACAGTCTTGTACAGCCATTCTCAGTTTATTTTATTATCTTGCTCGTCCTAAGGCCAATCATAGTGCTTCACTCACTGATAATTCAGCACAGACCCCAAAGAAAAACAGGAAAAGGGTGACTGTTACCTGGTTTGGTGATACACCAAAATTGCATTTCGCTCTGAGCCACTGAGAGAGAGAATCCATCTCAATTGTTTAACAATTAAAATTAGTAACATCTTCACAAACCTGAATGGAATTTGGAAATTCATGGAGCATCATGGCTTGGGAATCATTTTCCATCTGTTTCCCTGATGGAATACAAAAGGAAATGATTGGTACTTTATTTTAAGATTGATCAAGCACTAGAAACAAAGCAATGTGCAGGAAAGTAAAACACCATTGTAGTTATTTTGGATGGTTCTGCACTTCATTTTGCCTTATGATTGTTACTGGGAACTGTGCCCAGATTATCGGTAGCTGTTTTATAATGACATGAAAAGCTATACCAAATGTAAGGATTATTATTAATAATAATTCTTGCATTTTTTGATATAGCGCTAATCATGTTTCTGAGATGTCTCAAAGTACCTCACAGAATATACTGTAAAGTGAATTGATTGTATATTTTGTGGGAGAATCGCGGCAGCCAATTGCTCACAGCAGTGTCCCACAAACAATCGTGGATTTAGTGAACAAATTATTATTATTATTTTGGCCATACACAGCACAGACCATGTTTGTGATAATAATAATAATATTAATATAATAATAATGTTATAACAGATAATAATAATAATATTATTAATAATAACAATAATAATCATAAGTGGAGTTATTACTGTGTTTTCAATGTGGGGTTGAACCCAGAATTTTATAACGTAAACAACTAATCCAAGCTACCACTTTGGTTGAGCAGAATTGAAGTGCGGTCTGGGTATGTATGGGTTTCATCAGATATTGCACTGGGATCTGTAACATTGGCACAGAAGAGGACTTACTTTGGTTTAGTTGTTTTATGCAGTACACTAGCACCACAGTCAAGAGAAGGATGAAGACGACAATAACTCCGATTCCAACAAATATTAATTGCCGTATTGCTGACCAACCTGCCAACATAAAGATTCAAATAGTTCTGATCAACGCAATTATATCAAAGCTGTTTAGCAATAAGATTCTAAGGATTATTATTATATATTTACAGATTAATATGAGACAACACTGTACTAACACAATTCTCTGAGTCTGATAATCTTGACAAAGATATTATAAGCAAAAGTGCATAAAATGGCCAACTTCCAGGTCATCAGGTCACTAATTATGCACTTTCCATGTGAGGCATAAGAAGCGCCACTGATGTCATTTCTTTTGGGAACTGTCATCAATGGTACTTGTTGCACAAAGTACACAGGAATTATTTCTGATCGTCCCGGTGTCTGACATACGTGGAAACCCATATCCATGTTTAGTATCTGACTCAAATGAGAGACCTACATATGTATGACTCCTACACATGGACATTTCCTGGTATCTGGAATGGGATATGCACCGTTAGAAGGGAGAAGGAAGTGTCACTCCAATAATCTTCCAGATAAATTGATTGTTCACCACATGGGCACTTGATGGGAACTTGATAGGCACAAAATGGCCACTACGTTTGCCTATCAAAGCAATTACTAGATTTGACAAGAAATGTGAACTTGAATAACAATATGGAATCCAGGGACAAGATGGCTAACAATCTTGTTACAAGATGACACCTGGACAAAGAGTAAGGATGCTTGCTGAGTTGGGGAAGGGAGAATTTTAGAAACATTAGACTGAAGAATTCACTGGGATGATAACTGTAGACAAATCTTAATTTTCAGCAGTTTAGCAAATGACAGTGATCTATTGACATAGCCCATAAATACAGTAAATGTATAGGTCTAAGTTGAAGATTTTTTAACAAAATTTATTTAGTAAGCAATCTGAGGTTTGCAAGTGAAGACTCCTTTCATTAATTGGAAATAAGGCACACAAGCTCATGGGAAATCCAACTGGATTCAATTCCAGAGTGGTTTTCACTGGGTCTTTGAGAATTCTAACAGGATTTCTTAATATGGAATCCTATTAGAAATTAGACAGGAGTGAAACTGAAATATAGTGAGGTATGTTGCCACAATTCTTTCAGATCCTCAAGGTGAGCCTACCTTAACTATGCCACTGAATGACCTACACAATTTTTGCTGACCTCCAATTAAACTGTTTAATAAATAACTCAGTTACTTACTCTGTTTTGACATTGAGCAACTTTCCCTTGAATACACACGACCATATTCATTCTCAGCTCGACATGAAACACAGAAGCTTTCTAATCCTTGCACTTCCAGGCTGTTCGTAGACTTATTTTCATGGATTTGGGAAGTTTTCTTTGTCATCGATTCAGTTAGATTCCAAATGATGGTTGCTGGAGGGTTGGCGTCTGTGACACACTTGTAATTCAGCCCATTTTGACTTATGTTAATTTCACTGGGTCCATCTGTAAGTGGAAATTAACAAACATTCAAATCACATTTTTTCCTCTCCGCTGATTTTCAGCCTTTTCCCTCGGCTCCTAAGACCAGAAATCTGCTTAACTGCCGGTTAACCCCAAACAATGGGAAAATTGAAAAAAAATCTTGGCCCCGATTCATTTGTACACTTACCTGCATTAACTATGTCGGTTAATTGATCGCCTTCCCTTCCAATGGGAACGGCAATGGGAGGGAGGAAGTGCTGCTCCTCTGCTGGGCAGGAAGGTAATTTGCAGCCAAACAAAGTTAATATATTTCACTGAATTCTGTGAGAGTCCAGGATTGTAACACTAACTCCCAGATTAAAATAATTGGTGTCCTGTTTGGTTAATTAAGATTGTATTTCGGTTAATCTCGGACGCCTCTTAGGCCGGACAAAACGGCCATCCCCGATATGTCTGACTTAATCGTCTCCCACTGTATACATCAAGAGCGAGAAGAGCTCTCACTCTAACGTGGTATAATCCACTCAGGTGCCGTTAAAGCCAAATACTCACACTTGACATTGATGTCAGCTGCAGAGGTGTCATTTCCCTGTGAATTATTTACCACACAGGTAAAGGTTCCGAAATCCCTTCTGGATATTGTTTTGAACAACAAGACGCTGCCTGTACTTTTCAGAGTTTGTGTTGTGTTTGTGTGTCTTTTTGTCTTGTACCAGGTGTGAGTAGCTTGAGGATAGCTGTCAGTGCTGCACGTCAGCGTCACATTTTCTCTCCCCTCAATGATATCCAGAGGTTTATTTATTTGAATTGTTGTATTTTGTGGGGCATCTGAAATGGGAGAGAATTGTAGATCAGTACAATATAATCTAGGGAGGAGCTCGTCAATGACACTGTGTCAAAGTCACAATGCTAATCTCACTCCCTTCTCTCCCTCAATCCTCCACGAGTATATCGCAGCTCCAGTAACAACCCAGAGCTTCCAGGCTTGTGATAGAGATGCGGAGACACATGGAGGAGCTCATCTCCTGAAGGCATAAGGTAAAGGGAGCAGTGATTATGAACACTCCCAGACAAATTCTGACAATCACGTTGCAATTGCCCTTCATAATGCAAAACCTCAATCCTGTTGTTCTTTCCAGGAGTAATAAATAATTCCTTTAAAAAATAATAATAATTTGGCCACTCAATCCACGACTGTTTGTGGGACACTGCTGTCCACAATTGGCTGCTGCGATTCGGCCACAAAATACACAGTCAACCCCCTTTACAATATATCTTCTGTGAAACGCTTTGAGATGTCTCAACAACGTGATGAGGCACTATATCAAATGCAAAGATTATTATTATACTATATTCTACTATTTGGTTAATCCTAAAATATTGTTCTGGGTTTACTTTTTCAATCTGATTTAACATTTGATACACCTGTTTAAAGTCCTCTATGAGGTATTTTCTCTCAGGACTGAAGAGCCTTAACTTAACCTATTCATTGCTCATAGTTCAATCCTCTAACACTGGGGATGATCAGTGAACTCCAGCCATTCAGCAGCGGCTGGAGTTGGGCTGTCGATCAGTGAGGAGGTGGAGGAACGGGGAAGAATAAGGGAGGGAAATTGCGATTGATTGACAGCCGGCAGCCGCTTGTGAATTGGCTGTCAATCACCTCAGCGCTGCCACTAAATGGTCCTTTTATCGTCCTTAGGGAACGTCAATAGTAGGGAGGAAGCGCTGCTCCTCTGCTGGGCGTTGGAAGTTATTTCAGTTAATCACGGATGTCCCTTAGGCCAGATAATATGGTCGTCCCTGATGTTTGGCTCACACGGGTTCCACTGTAAACATCAAGACCGAGAAGAGCCCTCACTCCAATGTGGTATAATCCACTCAGGAGCCGTTAAAGCCAAATACTCACACTTGACATTGATGTCAGCTGCAGAAGTGTCATTTCCCTGTGAATTATTTACCACACAGGTAAAGGTTCCGGAATCCATTCTGGATATTGTTTTGAACAACAAGACGCTGCCTGTACTGTTCAGAGTTTGTGTTGTGTTTGTGTGACTTTTTGTCTTGTACCAGGTGTGAGTAGCTTGAGGGTAGCTGACAGTGCTGCACGTCAGCGTCACATTTTCTCTCCCCTCAATGATATCCAGAGGTTTATTTATTTGAATTGTTGTATTTCGGGGGGGATCTGAAATGGGAGAGAATTGTAGATCAGTACAATATAATCTCGGGAGGAGCTCGTCAATGACACTGTGTCAAGGTCACAATCCCAATCTCACTCCCTTCTCTCCTCAATCCTCCACGAGTATATCGCAGCTCCAGTAACAACCCAGAGCTTGCAGGCTTGTGATAGAGATGCGGAGACACATGGAGGAGCTCATCTCCTGAAGGCATAGGTAATGGAAACAGTAGTTATGAACACTCCCAGACAAATTCTGACAATCACGATGCATTCGCCTTTTTTAATTCAAAACGAAAATCCTATTATTCTTTCCAGCAGTAATAATTCCTTTAAAAAATAATAATAATTTGGCTACTGAAGGCATCACTGTTTGTGGGACACTATTGTCCGCAGTTGGCTGCTGCCATTCGCCCACAAAATACAAAGTCAATCCACTTTATATTATATGGTTTGTGAAGCGCTTGGAGACGTCTCAACAACGTGGTGAGGCGCTATATCAAATGCATGGATTATTATTATACTATATTCTACTATTTGGTTAATCCTAAAATATTGTTCGGGGTTTACTTTTTCAATCTGATTTAACATTTGCAAGTCCTCTATGAGGCATTTTCTCTCAGGACTGAAGAGCCTTAACTTAACCTATTCATTGCTCATAGTTCAATCCTCTAACACTGGGGATTATCAGTGAACTCCAGCCATTCACCAGCGGCTGGAGTTGGGCTGTCGATCAGTGAGGAGGTGGAGGAATGGGGAAGAATAAGGGAGGGAAATTTCGATTGATTGATAGTCGGCAGCAGTGAATGTGCTGTCAATCACCTTAGCGCTGCCGCTAACTGGTTCCTTTTCCTTCCGATGTGAATGTCAATGGGAGGGAGGAAGCGCTGCTCCTCTGCTGGGTGGGAAGCTATGTCGGTTAACCTCGGTCGCCCCTTAGGCTGACAATACAGCCGTCCCCGATGTCTGGTTTACACGGCTCCCACTGTAAACATCAAGAGCGAGAAGAGCCCTCACTCTAACGTGGTATAATCCACTCAGGAGCCGTTAAAGCCAAATACTCACACTTGACATTGATGTCAGCTGCAGCGGTGTCATTTCCCTGTGAATTATTTACCACACAGGTAAAGGTTCCGGAATCCCTTCTGGATATTGTTTTGAACAACAAGACGCTGCCTGTACTGTTCAGAGTTTGTGTTGTGTTTGTGTCTCTTTTCGTCTTGTACCAGGTGTGAGTAGCTTGAGGGTAGCTGTCAGTGCTGCACGTCAGCGTCACATTTTCTCTCCCCTCAATGATATCCAGAGGTTCATTTATTTGAATTGTTGTATTTCGGGGGGCATCTGAAATGTGGAGAGAATTGTAAATCAGTACTGTATAATCTAGGGAGGAGCTCGTCAATGTCACTGTGTCAAGGTCACAATCCCAATCTCACTCCCTTCTCTGCCTCAATCCTCCACGAGTATATCGCAGCTCCAGTAACAACCCAGAGCTTGCAGGCTTGTGATAGAGATGCGGAGACACATGGAGGAGCTCATCTCCTGAAGGCATAAGGTAAAGGGAGCAGTGATTATGAACACTCCCAGACAAATTCTGACTATCACGATGCAATTGCCCTTCATAATCTAAAACCTAAATCCTATTCTTCTTTCCAGGAGTAATAATTCCTTTAGAAAATAATAATAATTTGGCTACTGAAGGCATCACTGTTTGTGGGACACTATTGTCCGCAGTTGGCTGCTGCCATTCGCCCACAAAATACACAGTCAACCCACTTTACAATATATGTTCTGTGAAACGCTTTGGGACGTCTCAACAACGTGATGAGGCACTATATCAAATGCATGGATTATTATTATACTATATTCGACTGTTTGGTTAATCCTAAAGTATTGTTCTGCGTTTACTTTTTCAATCTGATTTAACATTTGCTACACCTGTTTAAAGTCCTCTGTGAGGTATTTTGTCTCAGGACTGAAGAGCCTTAACATAACCTATTCATTGCTCATAGTTCAATCCTCTAACACTGGGGATTATCAGTGAACTCCAGCCATTCAGCAGCGGCTGGAGTTGGGCTGTCGATCAGTGAGGAGGTGGAGGAATGGGGAAGAATAAGGGAGGGAAATTGCGATTGATTGACAGTCGGCAGCTGCTTGTGAATGGGCTGTTAATCACCGTAGCGCTGCCACTAATTGGTCCCTTTTTCTTCCGATGGGAATGTCAATGGGAGGGAGGAAGCGCTGCTCCTCTGCTGGGTGGGAAGCAATGTCGGTTAACCTTGGACGCCCCTTAGGCCGGACAAAACAGCCGTCCGCGATATGTCTGACTTACACGGCTCCCACTGTAAACATCAAGTGCGAGAAGAGCCCTCACTCTAACGTGATATAATCCACTCAGGATCCGTTAAAGCCAAATACTTACACTTGACATTGATGTCAGCTGCAGAAGTGTCATTTCCCTGTGAATTATTTACCACACAGGTAAAGGTTCCGGAATCCATTCTGGATATTGTTTTGAACAACAAGACGCTGCCTGTACTGTTCAGAGTTTGTGTTGTGTTTGTGTGTCTTTTTGTCTTGTACCAGGTGTGAGTAGCTTGAGGGTAGCTGTCAGTGCTGCACGTCAGCGTCACATTTTCTCTCCCCTCAATGATATCCAGAGGTTTATTTATTTGAATTGTTGTATTTCGGGGGGGATCTGAAATGGGAGAGAATTGTAGATCAGAACCGTATAATCTCGGGAGGAGCTCGTCAACGTCACTGTGTCAAGGTCACAATCCCAATCTCACTCCTTTCTCTCCCTCAATCCTCCACGAGTATATCGCAGCTCCAGTAACAACCCAGAGCTTGCAGGCTTGTGATAGAGATGCGGAGACACATGGAGGAGCGCATCTCCTGAAGGCATAGGTAATGGAAACAGTTGTTATGAACACGCCCAGACAAATTCTGACAATCACGATGTAATTGCCCTTCATAATGCAAAACCTCAATCCTATTGTTCTTTCCAGGAGTAATAAGTCCTTTAAAAAATAATAATAATTTGGCCACTGAATGCATCACTGTATGTGGGACACTATTGTCCGCAGTTGGCTGCTGCCATTCGCCCACAAAATACACAGTCAACCCACTTTACATTATATGGTTTGTGAAGCTCTTGGAGACGTCTCAACAATGTGATGAGGCGCTATATCAAATGCAAGGCTTATTATTATACTATATTCTACTATTTGGTTAATCCTAAAATATTGTTCGGGGTTTACTTTTTCAATCTGATTTAACATTTGCTACACCTGTTTAAAGTCCTCTATGAGGTATTTTGTCTCAGGACTGAAGAGCCTTAACTTAACCTATTCATTGCTCATAGTTCAATTCTCTAACACTGGGGATTATCAGTGAACTCCAGCCATTCAGCAGCGGCTGGAGTTGGGCTGTCGATCAGTGAGGAGGTGGAGGAATGGGGAAGGATAATGGAGGTAAATTGCGATTGTTTGACAGTCGGCAGCCGCTTGTGAATGGGCTGTTAATCACCTTAGCGCTGCCCCTAATTGGTCCCATTTCTGTCCGATGGGAACGTCAATGGGAGAGAGGAAGAGCTGTTCCTCTGCTGGGTGGGAAGCTATGTCGGTTAACCTCGGACGCCTCTTAGGCCGGACAATAGGGTCATCCCCAATATGTCTGGTTTAACCGGCTCGCACCGCACAGATCAAGAGCAAGAAGAGCTCTCACTCTGACGGCGGATAATCCACTCAGGTGCCGTTAAAGCCAAATACTCACACTTGACATTGATGTCAGCTGCAGAGGTGTCATTTCCCTGTGAATTATTTACCACACAGGTAAAGGTTCCGGAATCCATTCTGGATATTGTTTTGAACAACAAGACGCTGCCTGTACTGTTCAGAGTTTGTGTTGTGTTTGTGTGTCTTTTTGTCTTGTACCAGGTGTGAGTAGCTTGAGGGTAGCAGTCAGTGCTGCACGTCAGCGTCACATTTTCTCTCCCCTCAATGATATCCAGAGGTTCATTTATTTGAATTGTTGTATTTCGTGGGGCATCTGAAATGGGAGAGAATTGTAGATCAGTACAATATAATCTAGGGAGGAGCTCGTCAATGTCACTGTGTCAAGGTCACGATCCTAATCTCACTCCCTTCTCTCCCTCAATCCTCCACGAGTATATCGCAGCTCCAGTAACAACCCAGAGCTTGTAGGCTTGTGATAGAGATGCGGAGACACATGGAGGAGCTCATCTCCTGAAGGCATAAGGTAAAGGGAGCAGTGATTATGAACACTCCCAGACAAATTCTGACAATCACGTTGCAATTGCCCTTCATAATGCAAAACCTCAATCCTATTGTTCTTTCCAGGAGTAATAATTCCTTTAGAAAATAATAATAATTTGGCCACTCAATCCATGACTGTTTGTGGGACACTGCTGTGCGCAATTGGCTGCCGCCGTTCGGCCACAAAATACACAGTCAACCCACTTTACAATATATGTTCTGTGAAACGCTTTGAGACGTCTCAACAACGTGATGAGGCACTATATCAAATGCATGGATTATTATTATACTATATTCTATTATTTGGTTAATCCTAAAGTATTGTTCTGGGTTTACTTTTTCAATCTGACTTAACATTTGCAACACCTGTTTAAAGTCCTCTATGAGGTATTTTCTCTCAGGACTGAAGAGCCTTAGCTTAACCTATTCATTGCTCATAGTTCAATCCTCTAACACTGGGGATTATCAGTGAACTCCAGCCATTCAGCAGCGGCTGAGTTGGGCTGTCGATCAGTGAGGAGGTGGAGGAATGGGGAAGAATAAGGGAGGGAAGTTGCGATTGTCAGCCGGCAGCCGCTTGTGAATGGGCTGTCAATCACCTCAGCGCTGCCGCTAATTGATCCCTTTTCCATCCGAATGTCATGGGAATGTCAATGGGAGTGAGAAAGCGCTGCTCTTCTGCTGGGGGTTGGAAGTCATTTCGGTTAACCTCAGACCCTTATGCCGGTCAATACGGCCGTCTCCGATGTCTGGCTTACACGGCTCCCACTGTAAACATCAAGTGCGAGAAGAGCCCTCACTCTAACGTGATATAATCCACTCAGGATCCGTTAAAGCCAAATACTTACACTTGACATTGATGTCAGCTGCAGAGGTGTCATTTCCCTGTGAATTATTTACCACACAGGTAAAGGTTCCGAAATCCATTCTGGATATTGTTTTGAACAACAAGACGCTGCCTGTACTGTTCAGAGTTTGTGTTGTGTTTGTGTGTCTTTTCGTCTTGTACCAGGTGTGAGTAGCTTGAGGGTAGCTGTCAGTGCTGCACGTCAGCGTCACATTTTCACTCCCCTCAATGATATCCAGAGGTTCATTTATTTGAATTGTTGTATTTCGGGGGGCATCTGAAATGGGAGAGAATTGTGTGGTAAGCAACCGGGATATTGACATCTTGGTAATCTAAGCCATGTGTTGATAATAGACAGTGTTTTATTATCGGGAGTTCAGTTTACATTGTTCCAGTGCATTGGAACCTCCCCCATAGTGATTGACTCTCTCACAGTATCTGTCAGTGTTGTCTTGTCTCTGCAAGTATGGAGAGGTACCATCCATCCCAGGGGATCTGTTGGTTTTGAGCCTCTTGAGCATCTCTAGAATCTCAGCCTCACTTATATTCAAGTCCCAGAGTTCAAGCAAAGTTTGCTGGATGTTGGTAGGGCATTGTATAGTGTCCTCCCTAGTAAGTACCTCCAGGAAGTAAGTATTTAATATGTTTCTTATCACCTGTTCATTCTCTTTGAGTTAATTTGTTGCTTGTTGGAACTTTTGAGGCTTCAGGGTAAAGTTTAGGATTTTATTTAAGTTTGGGTTTTGCTGACTTGCCTGAGTGAAAATGACCATCAGATGGCAGCACATCCCTCCCAGTAAATGGGCTCCTTTTTCATACAAATTTATTACCATCTTTGATTGCATTTGGAAATTAGCACATTAATATTTTGCAGTCCCTTAATTGGTTCTTAGCTTGTTTTTTTGTTTTTTCTCCCACAAATATACAGTCAATTCACTTACAGTATGTTCTGTGAAGTGTTTTTAGACGTCTAGAAGACGTGAAAAGTGCTACATCAAATGCAAGGATTATTATTATTATAAAAACACACACAAGGAGGGCAATATCTGTGTTCTCCCAGGCTAAAAATGAACATTTTACGTATTGGGTAGCCTAATTTTGAGGCCCCCCATGACCTATATAACCTACCCATTAGCAAGACAAACATCAAATCAAATACTTTGTTCCATGATAGAAATTCCTTTAACACACCTGTCTTGGTACAGACACTGTTGGGGGTGACATTATATTAGGGGCTTGCTTAGGCCCAGAGTTATTTCAAGAGAGAGAAATGATTTGATCTCACATGATTGGTGTGGACGATACAGGTTGTTTGGCCCATCTGATCTGATTCTTCCAGAACCCTCACCCTACCATTCTCCTCATCATTGCATCAAGTAGCTTTTTAAAAGAGTCCAGTATCCTGGCCTCTACCACCTTTCCTGTCATTGATTATTCTCTGGGTGAAGAAAATCTTCCTGGTATCTCTCCTGTCATGTCCCTTTATTACTCTAAATTTATATCCTCTTGTTTTATTGTCTTGATATATTCTGAAATATTGATCTGGGTTTACTTTCTCAATCCCATTGAAAAATATGTAGTCTCTGATTTGCTTTCCCTCAAGACTGAAGAACCACAGCTTGTCTAATAGCTCATTCCTCTATCGCTTGGGGATCAAGCTCATTGCTCACCTCTGCTCTGTCTCTAAGGCCTGGACAGTCCCCTTCTGTCGCGTTGACAAGAACTCTATACAGTATTCAATGAGCGGCCTGACCAGAGCCTATTACTAAATCAGTTGAGATCCTCAGTAAACTTCTGAGGATCTCAACTGATTTAGTAATGAAGCCCAACATCCTGTTGGCCTTGTTTATTGCTGCCTTACACTGATTTGGCATAGTGAGAAATGAGTCAATAACGCTCCTATATCACTTTCAGTTTCCCCCTGGGCAAGTTCAGTCCCTCCAGCTTTAGAGTTATCAGAAGGGACTTGGAAGCAAAATGTTGCTGCCCTGTATCCCTGAGGGTGTGGAGCCAATATAGGTAATTGGGCAAAGACAGGTCGGGTGGTAGAATGGAACCAGTACAAAAGCTCTTGACAACTTTCTGTACAGTTTAGGATCATTTGAATGTTGATTAACATAACATAACATTTAGGAGGAGTAGGCCATTCGGCCCTTTGAGCCTGCCCAGCCATTCAATCATGGCTGATCTTCTAATCTAACTCCAGTTAATAACCTGACCCTGCCTTATCCCCATATTGCTTTTCACCCATGTAGTGAGTTCCATACATTCACCACCCTTTGAGTGAAGAAGTTCTTCCTCAACTCAGTGCGAAAGGGCTGCCTCTAATTTTAAGGTTGTTTTAGTTTCTCCAACCGGGGGAAACAATCTCCCACTATCTACTCTATCACGCCCTTTGATGATCTTACAGGTTTCTATAATATCCCCTCTAATTCTTCTATATTCTAGAGAATATAGGCCTAAATTGGTCAGCCTATCCTCGCAACTCATCCCCTTCATCCCTGGTACTAACCTGGTAAATCTACGCTGCACCCCCTCCAAGATAAGTACATCCTTCCTTAAATAAGGAGACCAAAGCTGCACACAGTATTCCAGTTGTGGTCTCACCAGGGCCCTATACAGTTGCAGCAAGACTTCCCTACTCTTATACTCTAATCCTTTCATAACGAATGCTAACATACCGTTCGGCTTCCTAATTGCTGCTGCACCTGCAGACTAACTTTCTGTGATTGGTGTACAAGGACACCCAAGTCCCTCTGGACGCTAACGCATTCCAATCTCTCCCCTTCTAAAAAATAACCCGCTCTACTGTTTTTGCTACCTAGGTGGATGACTTCGCACTTCCCTACGTTATACTTCATCTGCCACCTACCTACCCAATCACCTAACCTATCTATGTCTTGCTGCATTTTTTTAATGTCAACCTCTGTGTTGAAACTTCCTCCGAGTTTTGTGTCATTGCTTCAGTATGGGGAACTTACATTTGACCTGAAGCGTTATGTTGCTTTGTTTTGAGCATTGGTAGTTAGCACAACTGACCACACATTTGATCAGCTTGAGATGATGTTGGTATGATGGAACAAAAGTGAATGAACTGGTGATTTTCCGGTCAGATAAAGACTGTTTCTCCTTATTCACGGTCTTCTGATCTGTCAGCTCAGTGATTCCTTCCCAGGTCAGCTTGGGTTTGACCTGTGTTACAACGTTAGACGAAGTACACGTTAAAGTGGTGCTGATCCCTTCAGCCACTTCACTTGGGAAAACAGTGGGGTTGCCAGGACGATCTGACAAAAGGAAAGAGAAATAAACAATGTTCTGAAATGTCACCTCATCAAATCGACAACGGTAAATACTGCAAACTTGTCAGTTTGCTGGTTTTTCAAACAGGTAACAAGAAGTGAGAAGGAATATTTACCGTACACATCGACACTGATGGATAGTTTTCCGGTCCATTTATCGAAACCCGGTATTTCAAACCTGAAGCAGTAATGACCAGTATCAGTTTTCCTGAGGTCACTTATCTCAATTGAGCAGTTTTTCTTTGTCAGGTTTCCTGTTAATTTTATTCTGTTGTTGCTTTCGTTGCTTTCATATATCTTCTCTGCTCTTTCATTGCATGGATTACCTTTGAACCATTGGCCCCATATAGTATATGGTTTATTCGGTGGGTCAGGGTAACTGAAAGAACAATCCAGAATTACAGACTCTCCCTCCAGCCCAGCAGTGGACTCGGGAAGCGTAACACTCCATTGATGGGCGGAACCTGTGGGAGAGAAAACAGACTGACTGACTTACTGTGTGTGACTCTGGTACTGGTTGACTGGGGAATACCTGTCAGTGGGGTCTCTCTGCCCCGTCCCCTTCATTGGGAAGATTGGGAAACATTAATGTCCTCGTCTAACACATGTAATATGTATACTTACACTAAATGTATTTAAGATGTCAGAAGCCTGACATTCCACCCCATCTTAGCCTGTGAGACCCTCAACTTAATATTGTAGTGCAAACCTCCCCCCCACCATCCCCCAGTCAGGCAGAAACAGCCGCTCATGTAGATTCTCACTATAACACATCTGGGGGGGGTGGTGGGGGAGGAAGAATCTGGAACAGCAACACAACAATCACAGAGGGGTGCAGACACTTGGGCACATGGGCAGAACCTGACACCCCTCTTATAATACCCCCCTCCCCCACCGGCTCTAACCATCAAACCATGGAGTCAGTCCAGCCCCAGTCATAGGGATGGGGGGGGACTTCCTCACCTCTTTAAAAAAGCTCAGGTTCCCTCCTCAGCTTCCTCCCTGAGGTCCGAGTGTCCACTATAATTATCCAGCTGAGATGTGTGGCCCACAGGGAAGCTCACAGGGTGTTCCTGGTAGCTACCATCCACCTAGTGAGGGCTCCAACCCCCACTTGGCGGATGTCAAATGACCAACTAGTGATTATTCTATTGGGAGGGAAGGAAAATAGGATCTGTTTGGTAATGAAATGTTAGAATTGAGCCAATCCTCTGCGGCAGTCTCAGAAGCCAGGTTCCTGAGTCAGGTTAATCCTCCGTATTCCAGGGCACTGCTGATGGAAGCACAGCCAGTCTGGCTCATCTGCAGGACTTGGAAGGGCAGACCAGTCACTGGGGGCAGGGCATCATCCCACTAAGCTCCTGTTAACACTGCAAGCCAATGCCCTAACCGGTAGTGTGACCCTAGCCAGACAATGATATCAATGACAAGCTATGTAGTTAGACTGCAGATGTACCCCAATGCGCACTCTGGCATCCCCAAGCCTTGGCTCTTGACAACGTGTTCCCAAAACTTTCTGGAATTAGGTAAGCAGGATGCGTTCCTCCAGGGCAATAATATACAGTCCATTCCACAATGTATCTCTGGTATTTCCATGTGTAAGTGGGATGCATGGATATCTCAGTTTGGTTTAGATACACTTAAGCACAGTGTTGGATTTCTGCAAGTGTCAGATATCCAGCTGACCCCCCCAAAAAGTGTTTTAGGTAGTTCAATCAATTAACTTGGGATGAGAAGTATCTGGTTTGTATCATAGTGACTCACTTAGTTTTCATCTATAACTTGAGTAATATTTTATGTGAAAGGTGCTATACAAATGTGATTTTGTATTGTATTGTATGTTTAAAATGAAGTCCTCAGAACCAGAGGTGCGGAAGAGGAGAGATGAATGGAGGGGCCCCTGGGGCAGAATTTATTCTGGTAAGATAAACAACTCTTGAGGAAACCAAGTTAAATAGTCTACATGGCTCATCATTGAAACATGTTGCCATAGACATGCTGTCAATCCCATGAGCCAAAATGCTAATGTCCTGGGTCCTCATAGTTGCACGAGTTCCATATTGTGTGTTTACCACATATTACTACTAGCCAATCACCACTGGCTCCTTAACGCTGAATGATTTCAAGATACTTACACTTGTTTTCAAATCTCCTCGTACTCTGCCACTTCCCTACTTCTCCGACCTGCTTACTCCTCAACCCATTACCCGCTGCCTCCACTTGACTGGCTCTGGCCAATTGCATGTCGCTCCTGTTCCACCATCAGTGGACGTTCTTTTAGCTACTGTGCCCAAAATCTCTGGAACACTCTTCCTCTATCCCTCCACCTTACCCCCTTCCTCCCCATCTTCAGATCGCACCAGAAGACCTTCTCTTTGACCGTGCCTACGGTCACCTCCCCCACCCCCCCGGCTCAGCATCGTGCTTCACCATTGTCAAGTGCTTTGGGTCGCTACCTGGCATGAGGGGTACTATATATATGCAAGTTGTTGTGGTTGTTGTTGTTATTACTATGTCTCACCTGCCCAGAAGCTCTCTCTATGGGAATCAGGATCTGCCTCAAAGCCCATCACTTCATGGTGACAGAGGGTTCCTGGGAAAAGCTCTTGCACATGGTTAGTGATTACCACTGATCTAAAGCAGAGAGATAATGGTGGTAAAGGGTGAAACAGCCTTACCCTGGATGAGACACGCGAGCAGCAGTGCCAGCATGCAGTGAGAGACACTCATTGTGTGGATCACAGCCTGGAGAGAACGTGGAGAGAGGAGCAGAGAACAATCAGACACATTGATACCTGCACAATGAGCCATCGACAACGAACCACTGTCCGCACACACACACACACACACACACAGTATTGAAACTGGGCTGCATTTGTTCAGCAGGAACTGCTCTGTAAACTCCTACATCTGTGGACTGAGACACTGGCCATTCATTGTCTTCTCGCACATTAACTCAGCTCAGGATTATAATAAATTGTATGTGGAGGGAGTGATTGAAATTATTTTTCCCATTTTTTCTTGCTAGGTGGTAATACAGTTGCAGCTGGTTAAACTCCAGAAGTAGTCTTATATACACTCTAGAGTCCCAAAGCCTTGTCTCTCTCCAGAATTAGGTAAGGACGGAGGTCGCTCTTGGGAATGAGTGCATATGTCATTTCACAGGGGAACTTCCATTTGTACACAACATGCACGGAACCCTCAGTCTGGTTTGAATACTCTTAATAACTATGGTGAAGGGTTTCTACATTTGTCAAATACTCGACCGATGAAAAAAACTGTTAATTTCAAAGTTAGCTTCCCTCTGGTGATATCTCACCCTTTGACCATTCTAGTCTTGTTACCACCGGAAGTTTAAGTTAAAGCATTAGACGCCTGTTGTCTTGTAGTTCAGTGGTTAGAGAAGTGGGTTCAATTCCCAGCAGAGCAAAATGTTGGGCAAGTTTCCTTATTCTACAAGCTTCTGTTTACCTTGCAGAAAGTAGGAACCCGGTTGCTAGTTGATTGGCGGATCACTTTTCTGTGGGTAATAATCCCTTCAAAAAAAAATTATAATAATTTTGTCAGTCAATCCACGACAGTCAATTTAGTTTACAATATATTGTATGAAGCGCTTTGAGACGTCTCAAAGACGTGATTAGACCCCATATCAAATTGAAGGATATAATATTAATATTATGATTATCCCATTAGAATTGTCAAGTGCTTCCTTAGAAGTAAATTGGGTTGGGGTTTGTTTCCTGTGGATCACATTGTTATACTTCAAGTTACCGAAATGAGTCCTTATTGGGAAATTCCATGAGGAACAACCACAAACTGGAGCCTAGTGGATCCCAGCTGATTTTCCCATCCCTAAATCAGGAACACTCAGGCCAGTTGCAGAGCTCCTGCTACCACTCAGCAGAGATCAGCACAGGTTGTGGACTCAGCACAGTGAGGGACTCGCCACAGCAACCACGCTTTTCCTTTCAGCTAACCACCTGTCCAACAACCCATCCCGCACTCTAACTGGATCATCCTACAGATAGGTGGTCCTGCCACCAGCCCCCGTTGCTTTTTCTGATTTCTCCCTTTCACCTCCCGCCCGGGATTTCTTCCAACTTTCCCAGAGCCGAGCCCTCACTCTGCCACGCCAGCTACCGGGAGCAGGGCACGAGCGATCGCTGAGAGAAACAGCCTTCAAGTCCGGGACTGTAGCCTCAACAACGTGATAAGGCGCTATATCAAATGCAAGGATTATTATTATTTACTGGGGCTACGAGTAACAAGTGGGGTAACCAGGATGATTACCAACTGATGTGAAAGCTTGATCACGGAAAATACAAAGAAGTATTCAAGGTCATTAACATGACAAACAACGAGAAAGTGGTGGAAAAAATACTAAAACTGGTTAAAAAGAAGAAAAGAGGAAGAAAATACAAAGAGAGGATAGGATGGGTTGATAAATGATGGGCCAATGTGAGCAGGTAATTAGTATAGATACTTGAACTGCCCACATTCAAAACCTGCTTCAAGGTTGACATCTGCTTTCAGTCATCTTTCCCCTCCCACCCTCTTCAGCTCCCACCCCCAGCTCGGGTGCCCAGCCATCTCGACGTGAAAGGTACTTGTAAATGTAAACTGTATTGTCTTGTTTCCAATATAAAATTGTTTTCAAAATTAAAACTATTCAAGAGGTATCTTATTATTCGCCCACAAAAATACAGTCAATTGACTTTACAATATATTGTGTGAAGCGCTTTGAGACGTCAAGAAGACAAGAAAAGCGCTATATCAAATGCAAGGATTATTATTATATTGCCTCAAAAACATCCCTGTTAAAATTTGAGACATTCAATACTGATTCATTGCATAACGCACAGTGCTTTGTGAGTGAGAAATTGATGTTGAAACTCTGGGAACACGTCAGAATTTCACACTATGGGTTGTGTCCACAACAAATAATCTGCGCAATCTTATTAAAGTGAAGGGAAATGTGCATAATCTTGTTAAAGGGAGGTGAACCCTAAAGTTCCAGCCGCAAAGCAGCCTTTTGCTATCGGGAAATTACTACTTCAGTTTTGCAAAATGGGGATGAGAGATGTTATATAGTTTTTAACAAAGATTATATTTTTCATTATGAATCAAACATTACATTTTTAATTTTCTCCCCTTGCACCATCCTCTCTTCCTTCTCATTGTATACCATTTCCCTGTGACTTCATAACCAAGTGATCATGATTCATATGTATTTTCATAGAGGTTTTGATAGAATAGATAGGGAGAAACTGTTTCCACTGGCTGGTGGGTCAGTAACCAGGACACATAGATTTAAAATAATTGGCAAAAGAACCAGAGGGGAGATGAGGAGAATTTTTTTTACAGTGTTGTTACGGTGTGGAATGCACTGCCTTAAATGGTGGTGGAAACAGATTCAATAACAACTTTCAAAAGGGAATTAGATAGGTACTTGAAAATAAAAATTTTGTAGGGTTATGGGGAATGATCGGGGGAATGGGAATGATTGGGTAGCGCTTCGAAAGAGCCGTCACAGGCAAAAGTTGGCCGAATGGCCACCTTCTGTGTTGTAAGATTCTATGATTCTGAGATGTGAAGCCTGACATTGAACGTGAGCAGATTATTTTTACTGTAGGATGCTACCGTGGCTGACTCTGCTATCTAACATCCACACCTCCAGTTGGCATTGCTGCACAGCCATCAGGAGCAGGGATCCTGGCTGATTTTCCCTAAACCAGGAACAATCAGGCCAGTTGTTGAGCTCCTGCTATTGCCCACCTGAGATCAGCTAACACAGCACAGGGTGGGGATTCAGCACAAAATGCAGAACAATTTACCCTGAAAATCCTAGTATCAACTTACATCAAGACAGGCAAACATTGCAAAGAGACACAGACAGACTAAGAGAGTGGACAAACTATGGAAGATGGAATTTATCATTCAATATACAATGCAATTTACATTTATACAGCACCTTTCACATTGGGAGGGCAAAGTGCGTGACACTGCTGGTTGAATAGGTGAGTTAGGGGTGGGAACTAAGGGGGCTATTCAGCATCTTTGGACGTTCTCCCGACGTGAAAGGCACTAATGAAAGGAATTTATTTTGCTGAACAGTGGAGGGATGACTGAAAGAGCGGTCAAAGAGGTAGGATTTCAGATGGACCTTGAACAAGGTGAAAGAGGGATCGAGTCAGAGGGTCTCTGGGATGGAGTTACAGACAGCAAGGGCAGAATATCTGAAAGCTAGTCTGCCAAATATAGGGCAGATAGAGTAAGGGACACAAAGCAAGCCCGTGCCTGTTGAGCAAAGGGTCGGTAGGGTTGAAAAAGGTCACAGAGGTGGGGTGGGGCAATACTGTGGAGTGAGTTGAAGGTGAGAATTAGGATCTTGAACTTGATCCACTCTGGATGTAAAGGTAATAGAGCCGATGAGGAGGGTGATAGGCTCGCACAGCTTGGTGCTTGAGGGGACAAAAGCTGCAGAGTTCTGGATTGTCTGTGACTGTGATAGCTCATGAGGTGAAGAGTTGGGTAGTCTGGTGAGCAGAGCGTTGCATAGAGGTCTGTAGTATAAAAGTAAGAAAGTTCTTCTCCAGTTATACAGAATATTGGTCAGATGTCAGACCTCATTTGGAGTTTGTGTTGGGTTTTGGACACCAATTCTTAGAAAGGATATAGGGTGGGTTATAAAATAACGTTGTAGGGTATTCAGTGATGGTTCACTCGATTAATACCTGGGCTAACTGGGTTTGTAATAATGAAAGGCTGGGTAGAAGAGAAAGACTGTTCCTTAGAGTAGGGGAGGTTAATGGATGATTTGATTGAAGTATTTAAATTAATGAAACAAATTGACAGGTTAGATAGTGGAGAACTCTTCCTTCTGGTAGAAGCATCATTATAATAATAATAATAATCCTTGCATTTGATATAGCGCTTTTCACGTCAGGAGGACGTCCCAAAGCGCTTCACAGAACACACTGTAAAGTGAATTGACTGTATATTTGTGGGCGAACGCGGCAGCCAATTGCGCACAGCAATGTCCCACAAAACAGTCGTAGATTGAAAATGACCAATTTAATTATTGTTTTTATTTTTTGGAGGGATTATTATTAGGCGTGTGGAGTAAGGAAACTTGCCCAAGGTTTCGCCCTGCCTGGAATTGAACTCAGGTCTCTCACTTGCAAAGCGAGTGCTCTAACCACTGAGCTACAGGACTCCATTATATGGGGTTAGTACTGCAGTCAGAAGCATTTATTCACACAGAGATTTGCGAGGAGGTGAAATGCTTGATCCCAGAAAGCTGTAGCGATTAATAGGGATTTTAGAACGGGATGGATACGTGGGTAATAGATGTCAGCCGGGTTCAGTTGGTAACCATCCACTTCAAGGTTGGTGGGACATTGCTGTTTGCAAATTAGTTGCCAAGTTCATCTAGAAGAACTCAAATACTACACTTCTCAGAGAAATCATTAAGCTCTTCGAGATGTTATTGCCACTATAACAGATTCAAGGATTATTGTTAGTAGTAACTAATGGAGATAAAAAGGGTTACTGTGAAAAGATGGGCATTGGGATTAAAACATTTCCCCACACTGGCTGAACAAACTCAAGGGGTTCACTGTTCCTGTTTTTCTATCTTCTGACGATCCTCATTTTAGAGTCCAGAGTTTGTTGTGCCCCGGAAAGCTCTACTTTCCAGCTTTGTATAGACTAAAGAATATAAAAATGCATGTTATCCCGGCTTAGCTTGGAGCACTCTCACCTCTAAGGTTGAGAGTTCAAGCCCATCATTGGGACTTGGAACTTTTATCATCAAAGAGGACACTCCAATGTTGTGCTAAGGGAGCATTGCATTGAGGGAATGCAATCCTTTGGATAAGATGTTAAACCGCGGTCCTATCTGTCTATTCAGATAGACGTTAAAGATCCTATAGCACTTCTCCCAGTGTCCTGGCCAACAATCTCCAAACAAAATTGGTCATTCCTTCATGGTATTTGTAGGTCATTGCTGTACGCAAATTGGTATCATTTGTACACCACTTCATCTCTGAAACTGCATAATCGATTGCTTCACCAAATAGATATCCAATTCCCTCCTGAAATTGCTTGTACAATCTGCCTCCCTGACTCAGACATTCCACATATTTACCACTCTCTGAGTAAAACAGAAACTCACAGGAGTCTGTACGTAGGCAGTGCTGCTTTCACTTCACTGAATTCCATTGATAAGTTTTGATGAATTTGGTCACACAGCAAGGAGAACATCAACAGCTTGTATTCAGATATAGTTTGTTTCACACAAAGGAACTTTGCAATCTTTGCAACCTCTG